GGTTGTTTTGCTTGTAGACAAACATCACATTTATCAGTGTCAATAGAAGACAATTCACTTTTTAAAGAACTAAGATGCTTAAGAGTATGAAATGAAGCATGGCCTAACCTAAGATGCCAAAGTTCATTACTAGAAGTAGAGGAATTACAAATAGAAACATCAGTCTCCTCTACAATGTAAGGTCTAGAATCTATTTTACCAATCGTCTTAGTGTTTCCATTGTAAAGGTCCTGCAAAACACATACATCAGGAAAGAAGGCAACAACACAAGTGTGTTCTGAGGTGAGGCGTGAGACAAAAACCAAATCATAATGAATTCTAGGTGTATAAAGTATGTTTTCTAGAATTATGTCATCAAATAACATGATAGATCCTACGTGTGTGACTATCAATTTTTCTCATTTTAGAATATGTATCTTAATAGGAGTCCCAGCATACTTAGTGAATTTATTAAAGAAACTTAATGAACTGACTACATGTGCAATGGCTCCTAAATCTAACAGCCAATATGGTTTATGCATATTTGAAATATGTGTGGCTGAATGTGTAAGAGACAGGATATTGCAAGTCGAACCTGATGATTCTTTCAAGTCATTTGTGGTTATAGCACCAACAGAAGGAGCAGGCTTAATGTCTTTGTGTAACATCTTGAGAATGCTATCATAGTCTTGTTAGGAAGGAAGCTGACTTTCTTGTGGTTGAATTGGAGTTGGATTAACAGGGGCATTTGTGTAGTTGATTTGTCGATCTTAGGTGCCTCTTCCTTGGCCAAAGCTTGGTGGGAATCCCACTAATTAGTAGCAATTGTCCTTTTTGTGGCCTTGACGGTGACAGTATGTGCATTCTTCAGATGAGCTTATTCGCCCTCGCCCTCTACTGTATCTACCACATCCTCTAGCAGTCATGGCAGAACCTTCATTATTTAAGCTGTGAGGAGGTTGAGTCAAGTTGTGTTGCATTTCTTCTTGACAAACCAATGAGTATGCTTGATTTACTATCAAGAGAGGGCTCATTAGCAAGATTTAACTCCGAACATGTTGATAGGATGAATTAAGTCCCATAAGGAACTGAAACAACCTCTGTTGTTGTACGGTTCTTGCATAGTCAAGAGAGGAATCACACTTACAGCTGGGCAAAGGTACAACCACATACTATTCCTCCCATAATTCCTTCAATCGTGTAAAATAGCTCAACACTGTTATCGATTCCTGAGTGAGTGAATTGATTAGATGATGCAGACTGTAAATTTTGGAGCCATCGATGATGCTAAAGCATTCTTGAAGGTCTTCCCATACGAGATTTGCGCTCTCTGAGAAGGTGATGCTGGCTGAAATCTCTTTTAAGACAGAATTAATTAGCCATGAGAGTACCACAGCATTGCAGCGATCCCATTGCCCATAAAGACTCAGATCTTGGGCTTCTCGTCTACAGGACCCATCAATAATACCCATCTTGTTTCTTGCTTGAAGAGCTATCTTGATGACGCGGCTCCATATTGTGTAATTTGTAGCTCCGATTGGAGGCTGAGTCACAAGTGAAGTCACCTGTGTCTTAGAAGGATGGAGATACAAAGGATGATTGAGGTCAAGAGTGGTGTGGACGCTGCTGCTAGAGATGCCTTTTACATTTTCTTGATTTAGCAATGCTATTATTGGCCAAAAGATCGAAGGTAGATGATGAATCTGACATGTTCGTGGACGTTATGTTGTGTGCAAGGAAGGAAAAGACGTTGTGTCATGAGGAGAATAAAGAATCGTGAAAAGGAAGGTGACTAGGGTTCAGTCGAAGAAGACAAATGAAAGTTGGGTCGGGCAGACTAGGAAATGGGTCGGATCATGAGCTAAGGCTCTAGTACCATATAGAAAAAGAATGCTTTATTGGATAATACACTTTTGCTTAACCCAATGGGTTTTACATCAACACACTCTAATACAAAAAGGGGCAGAAGCTATTTATAGCCCAGGATAAGCCAAGAATGAAACTAACTAACTACCAGATAAACTAATCCATATCAGCCTATTGATACATAACTAATATCAATAGATATTATCCTGAAAAATAATATTTTTTCTATTTCTCTACACTACCCATGTGATCGAAGAGCAAGGAAGATGAAGCCAACAACATAGTTCTAGCGACAATCTTCTTTAAGCTAGACCCTGAGCTTCTTTAGTTAGCACAATATCGTCATTTGATCTTTTTCTTCTTTTTTGGCGAAAGTCCAACGAAGGTAATTCATGATGGTTCCTTCTAGAATCTAAGGGTGGGAGCTTTGTTTTTTTGGATGATGAAATTTTCGATAAGAAGACTGGAGAGGACAAAATGCTTGCATCTCTTCCATTGTATGCTTTGTCTTCTTCATCGATGTGAGTTACATAGTGGTCCTTTGATCTGTGACGAGGCATATTTTTTTTGAGATGAGGGCATTTTAGTCTTTTACTGTTTTTAAGATTAATATTGAATAAAAATAATATTTCAATTCCATGAACAAATCAAACATATTTTTAAAACTCATATTCACTTCCATATCTATTTTTATATCCATTTTTACTTCCATCAAAATCATTTTCACCATACCAAACATGGCATCAATGTTGGTTTGTATGCTGTAAATATGATTTTTGGGAGTTTCAATTCTTTAAATTGTACCTTCTGCCACTAATCAATTAGGTTTTACTTCTCCATATGATGTGCGAGGAGATTAAAAATACATTGTTGTTAAATATTTAGTAATTTAATTTTATTGTTCAAAAATCTTGCAAATATGATAATCATCAAGATGAAAAATAATCTAATTAAAATTACAATAATTAATAGTAGTTGAATGTTAAATATGCTGGACCCAAAAAAAAATTGAACATTAAATATTATCAATGCGGATGTTGTAAAAGACGGCTAATTTATTATTGACCGGAATCATGAAAACACATTCTACAACAAACAAACAAAAAATTGAAAGTATAAAAAAACTTATAACAAATAGAATGAATTAAAAGTTTTTTTCTTTATTTTTTTTTGGGAGGGGCTTACTGTACATCAGGTACAGTTTACATCGATCCGTTTGATTCATGGGTTTTTCATGATTAATAAAAAAAAAATGTGAGTGTTTTGTTTTGTTTGGGAAAATATCCCTCAAGATAAGTGAGGATATTTCATAATAATGATAAAAAAAATTCTGAAATATTATTACATGATTAGGTAACTAATAAAAATAGTTTTAAATAAAAAGATTGATATGTAATTTGAATTTTGAACTCTAGATTCAACAGCAATTTGAACCTTACACTTTTAAAAGATATTTATTTTAAATTATAAATAATTAAAATTAAAATAATTTTGCATCATCGTTAAATTTAAACAAATATCTATCAATCTTTTTTAAAAATGGGGCTGTTTCTGCGATTTTTTTCAAATAAGGATAGGAAAAAAAAGAAGTAAAATTTGATAAAAATTGTACATTAAATTTAAATTTTTTAAAAGTAACAAGCATTTGTTTAAATTTATCGATAAGGTGAAATTGTTCTAACTTGAATTGTTTAAGTTTTAAAATATACTTTTTAAAGATTTATGATTCAAATTGTTTATAAATCTATAGTTTAAAGTTCAAATTACATATTAATTATAAATAATAAAAAACATTATAATACCATTGTTTCATGGATATTTATTAATAAAAAAATTAATCTTTTAATCCTCCAACTTTTAAGTCACTTATAACTCAATCCCTCAACTATGACTCACCAATGGCTCAGTCCTTCAACTTTTGAATCACTTACAAATTAGTCCCTTAACTTTTGTTATTTTTTTTCATGTTAGCTTATATTTCATATCAATGAGCAAGAGGAGAGTATTTTAAAATAATATATGAGCATTTTTTTATCCCTGTTATTTGATAAGAAATTTTTTAAAAAAATTAAAAAATAAGGATCGAATTATAGGTGAATCAAAAGTTAAGGGACAGAGTCACAACGAGTTATAGTTGAGGGACTGAGTCGCAATGAGTCATAGTTGAAGGACTAAGTTATAAGTGAGTTAAAAATTGAAGGATTAAAAGATTAATTTTTTCTTTATTAATTAATTAATAATTAATGTTACTTATTAAATTATGATATACTTATCGTTTCTAATAATCAAGCTCTCTTACATTTTTAAATTAGTCAATTAAAAAAATTATTTTTATACACATAAATTAAAAATTAATAAATTGAATCCATTAATTTGATATTAAAATTAAAAAATAGTAGCTGATAGAGTTAAATTTAAAAATTAAAAAATTAAAAGACAGTTGTTTTGTTTTTACAAAAAAACAACCAGTTGTCAGGCAGGGGCTAGAGCCAAAGCTCAAAGTAGAGTTGAGAATAAGGATCGGGTCTGGAGGGCCGAGCTTGTAGGCCCTGTTTAAATAAAGGTTCGAGTTTTGAAAATTATTTTTTTTCAAAGGAATCGAGCTAGAGGGCCTGGCCCTGATAAGCCCTGTTAAAAAGGGCTCGAGCCCGGGAGGCCCTCCAAGCTCTGATAAGCCTGATTATTTTATATATATACATACACATACATAAATATATTTGATTGATAATGACACAATTTGGTCAATATTTATTATAGATGATGAAGAAGAAATTGTAAAAGTAATTGACATTAAATTTTCACCTCCATCTTCATTCTTCAACAAATACACTTACATTCGAGAGATTTAATATTTTATTTGTAGATAATGAGGATGAAGAGAATTTGAGTTTTGATTGATGAATGTATATTGTTTAGATTTCTAAATATGTTATTTAATTTTTAAAATATTATGTGAATTTTAATTTTTCAAATTTTAAAATATTTTAATTAATTTATAATATTTAATTTTATTTTAATTATTTTATTTTTTTTAACAGTACTTTTAAATTTGACCTTGAACTTTTTATATAAATGCCAGACTTTTAAAAAAATTAAAAATAAATAATCGAGCTCAAGCACCGGACCCGTCCGTATTCCCACCTATAACTCAAAGCTCCAACGCCGAAGAAGAGCTCAACTCGTCTCTCGAACTCTGTTCGAACCCAGATCGCCGCCGCCACATTCTTCTGTACGGCGCCGTCATCCTCAGCCACTCTTCACGACGTCGTCGCTCTCTCCTCTTCTCGTCCGAGTCGTCGCCTCTCGCTCTCACCTTCGTCTTCTTCACGCCTGAGCCTGGCGTCTGGCCTGGCAGCAGAGAACTGAAAGGCATTAACAAATCCCTCGCCCACTAGGTAGAGCGGATCCTCTTCCCGTGGTCCCTGTGCTTCCGACACCGGCGTCAGCCCCAAGTTTGCGTGGTCTGTTGTTGTTGATGGCGAGCAAACAAAGCTACCAGTAATGTTTTGGAAAAATTTGAAGCAATTTGGACTCTCTGCCAGAGAACTACGGGATATAGCATTCTCTCTTGTCAAATTATCCTGTTGTCTTCATGTCACCGCCACCTATCTCGTGGATCCTATTCAGGTAAGCCCTCCCGCCCCAAAAAAAGAGAAGAAACCCTTATGTTTACATTCTATTTCAAGATAAAGAGCATCAAAAGAGCTGGTTGGAATGTGCAGATCTATGGTCCAAGCATGCTTCCGGTAATGGGTCCGATGCCTACCATTATATTGACCGAAAGGAACTCCCCCCGTTTGGGTAAAGTTGAGCGCGGGGATATTGTTATTGTGCGGTCACCTGAAAACCCTCGAAAGTTGATGTGCAAGCGCTTGCTTGGATTGGAGGGTGATGGTGTCACATTTCTCGTAGATCCTAAGAACAGTGATAAATGCGAGACTGTAGTGGTACCGTTGATTTCCCATGCACATGTGTCAGTTCCTGTTGATTCAGAAGGACTATTTTAAGAGTGATTTTGACATCTGTTGATTTGTATCTTCGTGAATGGTTATGGAGATTTTGTTTGCTGAGTGTTTGCCTCACCTGATTAGGTTCCCAAGGGACACGTTTGGGTTCAGGGAGATAACATATATAACTCCAGGGATTCAAGACAATTTGGTCCTGTTCCTTTCGGTCTTCTTCATGCCAAGGTCTTCTGGAGGGTAAGTTCTGATCTGTCATCACTTTCTTTGTGTTCCCTCACTTTTTCTCTGCTGTTTTTCGCTGCTAAACTTTTATTAATTTTGTCCCTAGTTATCGCCGCCTGGACCCTCGGGCAAAAACTGATCCAAGATTTCAGCTTTGTGAAGCTCAAGTCCTTAGCAGTATTATCACTCTTTTTATTCAATTCCTAAATGTGTATACTCGCCCGAGTTTCATTTTAACGTACGAGGTGCCATTTCTCCCTACTTGGAGTTATAAAACTCGTGGTTCCCAGAAGATGAAAATCTGGGAGGTGAGACATAGTTGATTGTTAATTAGTAGCATCAACTGAGGAGTGTTGTCTTTTCAGTAACTGTATTTTCCGTGGTTGAACACATTCTTTTATATGTATGCCATGATTAGCCTAAAAAGTCTGGTGGAAGACCATTTGATGTCCTGTTACTATTAGATTGTTGTCCCGTTGAAGCAGGTTATTGGAAATGAGGAGGTCCGGGCACGGCTTTAACTTTATCAATCTCAGTATGAAATGTTATTGTGAACCACTTCTACTGTCGTGTTTATTTATCATTCAAAAATCAGATATGCCAGGATGATTTGATGAATGAAAACCATGGCAAAGACAGATATTGGAGAATATCTAACATGATATTTTGGGTTTCTTTTTTTCATGGGAAGGTCAAGATGTTTTAAGGTTGGAACCACAAGATTTTGAAACTCTGGTTACCATGCATTCTGATTTTGAAGTTATAGTTGTCAGTTTAGAATTGACGTATGAAGCAAAAATATCTTGGACAGACTATAAAAGGCTGTCAAACTCCGTAGACATATGAGCTCCCTTTTGCCACTCTGATCCTGAAGTCCCACAGGATGCAAATTCCAAAACGGACATTCTCCAATATAAGATCTTTTTCCTTCAAAGAGCTCATTACAGTATCATTGATTCCGTTCCTTCTCGAAGCTTCGGTTTCAGATTGGATTCTCCGTGACCTTGTTCTGCGCCAGCCCCTATTGACACAGTTTTGTGGGACCTTGGGATCATAGAATGGTGATGAATTGGGACGGAAAATTTAGACGTTGTGGTGCAGCATCTTGGGCTGAGGTGAACTTGAATTGGTTATTAGGTTGGTACTGTGCCCTCAATTGATAAGGCTCTGAAGAGTGAAGTAGTGTGTGGGGCGTTGTGTGTATTGGGTCCTGAATTAGTTGAATATGGGCCTTTTTTTTGTTTTTGTTTATTGTTTCTTGGACCTGAAACTAGGGGGCGCTTTTGAAGATGGGTTTTTTGGCTGAGAAAATGACTGAAAAGTCCCTTACAAGTATTTTAACTATCCAAAAATCCTATCAAATATACAAATAGCTAAGAGATTTCAAAGGACTTAAATGTAAATAAAATTTCTTGTGAATTTACCAAAAAACCCATGATTTGCGGGAAAAATTGTAGAGTTGCATACGCTCTTCTTTCTCTCCCTCTCCTTTGCAGCTTCTTTCTTCTTCTTAGCCACCCTCAAACCTTATCCCTTCATCAATGACAAAATCCCCACTGTCGACCTTCATGGCATTGACTCCCCAGACCATTGTCTTGCCATGGTGAAGCAAGTAAAGCGCGCATGCTCAACTATGGGCTTTTGATGAAGAATGGAGAATGGGGAAATGGAGAAGTATAATCTCTACCTTGATATTATCAGGACAATACTCACGCATTGTTGTGATAATTAAGATTAAATAAAAATTCTCTAAAAGAATTATCACAACTCAAGAGTTTAAAGATAATTAATTTAAAACATTGGGATAAAAAAATCTTTTTATTTTAAAATATTATTTGAACTCAAACCATGATTAAAAATTAATTTAAAACAAGTACGGAAATATGGGAAACACACCACGTCAAAATTAGGCTAAAAATGTCATTTTTCAATAAATATTAGTCCGTCTGCCACGACGGATGGCACAGAGGGACGAATCCCTCAAAAGCCTCTTACATCGCAGCGCAACAACCACGCGTCATGGCATTTACCTGTTGTCATAGCTTCTCTCCGAACTTTCGGAGCATGCCGTTTCGCCATTCAACATCCAATTTGAACGGTTCAAGTGTTCACACAAAAGCTCTTTAAGCCCCCTAGCTAATGGCTCTGATTCCACACTCAAACAACCACCTATTTAAAAGACAGACACTTGAACCTAAAATGGTTCATTTTCACAACAAAACACACACTGTGGTATCCAACTTATTTGCCATGGTGAAGCAAGTAAAGTGCACAGTGCTCAACTATGGGCTTTTGATGAAGAATGGGGAATGGGGAAATGGAGAAGTATAATCTCTACCTTGATATTACCAGGACAACACTCACGCATCGTTTTAATAATTAGGATTAAATAAAAATCCTCTAAAGAAATTACCACAACTCAAGAGTTTAAAGATAATTAGTTTAAAATATTGGGATCTAAAAAAAAATTTATTTTAAAATATTGTTTGAGCTTAAACCATAATTAAAAATTAATTTAGAACAAGTACGGAAACATGGGAAACACACCACGTCAAAATTAGGTTAAAAACGTCATTTTTTAGTAAATATTAGTCTGTCCGCCATGGCAGATGGCACAAAGGGACGAATCCCTTGAAAGCCTCTTATACCACGGCGCAACAACCACGCGTCATGGCGTTTACCTGCTGTCATGGCTTCTCTCCGAACTTTCGAAGCGCGCTGTTTCGCCATCCGACATCCAATTTAAGCGGTTCAAGTGTTCACACAAAAGCTCTTTAAGCCCTCTAGCTAATGGCTCTGGTTCCACACTCAAACAACCATCCATTTAAAAGACGGACACCTAAACCTAAAATAGTTCGTTTTCACAACAAAACACACACTATGGTATCCAACTCACAATACCAAATGCCATTAGTGCCAGAGACACCTTAACCACCTCAAATGAACCACACACCACATAACAATTTAATCACAATACACAATTGAGTAATTACGCTCAAAATGACCACCAAACTCCTAATTGATAATAACACAACGAGGTAGATAAAATTTAACACACAAATCAATTGGTCATTTTGACATTCAAAACACTTTAAATATATATATCACTTGTAAATATAACTTAGCCAAACACACACTTAATCCACAACATCAATCTTGGGCCAAGATACACACACTTATCAGAAATTCATACAAGTGATATCCAAATAATGTCATGTTCCTAAGTTGACAATATTTAGTAACAATATTCATTATAATACACAAAAAGAGAAAAGGAAGAGCTATAAAATGATGCTCTTCACTTTTCAAATGCCCTTTCCTTTCCCTTGCTTCTACTGGAGTCCTTACCTGTAAAATTTAACCACGAGGTAAAATAAACATCTCAGTAATCTATATAGTTCATCAAATGTTTATTACTACAAATAACCATGAAAAAGTATCAAAACTATAGTAATAACAAGCATACCATAATTATGAGATAAGTGTATCTTTTCACAACAAAACACATAGTTTCACACTAGCATGAACATCTAACCACTAAACCTCCAATGCTTCCCAACATGAAACCATAGGCTCTACTGGATCAACCACTTGTTGACCCGAACACACTTTTGATGGTAGAAATACCCGACCAAAGGTAATCTAACCTGCCTACAAACTATGATTTTTTCCTCTTCACACACTTGTGATAGAGACGTCGTTAACTCCTAACCGCACCCTAACAGGTACTAGGGAATTGTTAGACTACTAGGATGTCCCATGGTAACAGTCCTATATAATACTGCACTAGATGTCCCATGATGTTAGCTCGACTATATGAATTTTTCACTCACATATCTCCACACACATATCCCCACATATCTTGGGTAAACTCCCACCCCCTATGATTATGCTCTTTCACAATCTTCACTACTTTTCATCATATTTTCACATCACAAACTTATATACATAGTATATACATTTCAATTAAAATCAATAACCATTTACAAATCAATTTTTCATAATAAAATTATTTACAATGTCAAATTATGCACAAAATTCTTCAAAATCATAACTTTATCATTAGTAATTACTTCTACACAGTTATAATAGTTAATAAACACAATAAACTATATAGTTACCTTAACCCTTTGTCACACAAAAAGGATTACCGTGGCTCAATGTTAGCTTCACAGATTCTATATGCACGATATGTCTCGAGAAATGCTTAATCTATACTAATAAGTGATAATCGTCAATTGTCACTCTGGATAACTCCGAATTCTCTAGGTTCTAAGTGTCTAAAATACTCAAATTCCTTTTTTAACAATACCAACCATTCCCACACATTCTAACCATCCTATTAAACATTTCAACACACTAAATTTGCTAATCAATGTCCCACATTATCTTAAAATCCTCAAATTATACTTAAGGTTTGTCCAAACCCTTATCAAAAATTCTCAATCACCTTAAAGCTCATAAACTTAAGGTTAGAAGCTTGATTTAACTTCTCAAAATCTTAAATAAACTAATGGATTCGGTCTGAACCCAAGGGAACTAAAATCAAAGCTCCCATCACCTAAAATATTCAGATTTTCGCATAAAAGAGGAAGAAGAGGAAATGTACAACTTACCCAATGGTGATTCAAGCTCCAAATGCCCTCAAAGTGGCCTAGAGATCGTGCCCTAGCAGACCATAAGCTTTCCTCCATCGCTCTCTCGTTATCTCTCTTTCTCTCTTTTGTTTTTCAAGTCTGATTTTCGATCTAATAAGTGTTGATTTTGCATGTAATACCCCACAAAATTTTACACTCCCTTTCGTGCCATGGCCCACTTGAACATCAATCTAGCCCTCTTCTAAGGTTGTCTAAGGATCCAAAAATTATATTAGTCTCCATAACCCTTGCTAAATCAAAAATTTATCTAAATTGATCAAATTACCTTTAAAAACACTATAATTGCTAATGAGAAAGCTTAGGATGTTACAAGAAGAGAATATAAAAAGAGAGAGAGAGAGAGTAGGTAGAGAGAAAAAAGAGAGAAGGGAGAATTAGGTATTCAGAAGAGAGAAGCTTAAAAAGAAGCAAATTGATGGTAATTGTTATTCAATTAAATGCATATTTACAAAATAATTGAGTGAAGGTATTATTTATAAGTCTCAACCTAACCTTAGAAATAAATACAAAAATATTCTAAAAATCTTAAAATTAAATGAAAAGATAATATTAAATATTGAAAGATGATAATAATTCAAGTATTATGATAATTAAAATAAAATATTATTAATTAATAAAATATACTAATAAAATATCTTCAATCTTTTAATCTTCTTAAATCAATATCTTTGATTTTTTTTTCTTCCCATCTTTTCTCCACCGCTCGAACAACTCTCATTTGGAAAGTGAAATTGTAGGTATGCTTAGGAAATATGGTGGGATCAAAAGATTTCAAGTCATTACTTTATTTGGGA